GCCGTGGTTCAACATCTAAGACACACCTCGCTTCGTCACCAGAGTGCGTCTGGATCTCTCTAGATGGTCGAGAGTCGACCTTGAGGCAGCTCTTCCCGCAGCAAGACGAGGGAGACGTTTGGCCTATGTGAGTGGTCCGCTTGTCGACTAGAGAGGGGTCGTCATCTGACTCTCGTATGTGGCAGAGGTCGACGTCATGGACATCCAGAAGGGCATCGAGCTGCTCGGTGTCGCGAGGGGAGAGGGCCCGGACGCGGCCGGCGAACTGGGCCGGGACGTCGATGGCGACGACGTGGTCGACGATCTCGACGCCCCCTGCTGCTGCCGCTGCTGCTGCTGGCCCGAAGCCGACGCGGACGCCGACCAACCCTGCAGGCCCTGCCCCTGACCTCCCTCGCGCGCCCTCCTCCCGTACCCACCTACTCCCGCTCCCCCTCCCCCGCCCGCAGCGCCCGCGCCGCCCGCACCCGCAACCCCCTCGTCCCTCCTGTTGCGCACAAAGCTGCTCCCCCTCCTGCGGCCGAGCGGCATGGGCCGGTGCGTCCCGCCGAGGCTCGGCATGAAGCCCGCGACGCCCCCGCCCGGGCCCGAGGCCGTCTCGCGCAGGAGGTCGACGCCCGGCGTGGTCGGCATCTGCAGCTGCTGCTGCTGCAGGAGGAGGTCGTCGTCGGCGTCCTCGGCGGCGCCGGCGGCGGGGCCGTTGGGCGCAGAGAGCGACTCGGCGCCATCGCCGTCGCCGTCGCCGTCGTCGTCGGGGCCCGACACGAGCGCATTGTCGAGGATGCCCGGACCGCCCGGCCCGCCGACGCCGCCGCCGCCGCCCACCGTCGCGCGCTGCCTCCCTGGCGGCCCTCCTCCCGCACCCGCTCCTCCTCCTCCTCCTCCCGCTCCTGCGGCGCCGCCCGCCGAGCCCGGCTGCCGCACCTGCCCCTGCTGGCTCGAGACGGGCGTGTTGAGCGGCGCGGCGTCGAACCTGCCGCGGGCCCAGTCGCTCGCGCCGTCGCGGTCCTGGTCGGCGTCGTGGTCGACCGAGCTGCGGCGCGTGCTCGGGCCGGCAGAGGACGAGGACGAGGACGGGGTGGTGGACGAGGGCGAGGTCGGTGCCGGTGCCGGTGCGGGTGCGCGGGCGTTCGCGGCGGTGGCGGTGACGGTGGCGGACGAAGAGGACGAGGAGGATGCGGGTGCAGGCGGACCGCCAGCAGGAGGAGGAGGAGGAGGACCAGCAGAGGCCGCCTGCTGCTGTTGCGCCGCCACCGCCGCCGCTTTGGCCGTGCGCGCATCGTTGGCCTGGGCAATCTGCTCGAGGAGGCACGCGAGGAGGCGCAGGAGCTCCGAGGGCGGGTACGACACGATGTCGACGTGGTGCGCCGTCGGGGTCGTCGTCGGCGCCGCCGTGACCGGGGCAGTGGCGGGCGCGGCGGTGGCGGTGTGGGCGCTCGAGGGGGCGCGAGAGGTGGACGACGCGGGGACGGACGTCGACGACGACGACGACGACGACGACGGGGCACCGTGGAAGCTCCCCGTCCGGGGCACCTTGCGCCGCCCGTCGCCGTGCTCCCTCTCCCTGGGTCCCGCCGCGCCCGCCGACGAGCCCGCGCTCGTCGAAAAGATGCTCGCCGTGCGCACCTTGGGCCCGGCACCGGCGCCCTCGCGCCGCTCGTGCTCATCGTGCTCGTCGTCGTCGTCGCCGCGGACCGACAGGGTCGAGATGTCCATCGCGCTCGCCTCGCCTCCTTCTCCCTCGCCCTCTCCCTCGAGCGCACCCTCGGCCGCGTCGCCCTCGGCGCCCGCATCGCGCATGAGCGCGTCCTCGCCCCCACCCTCGCCCTCTTGCTCCGGCTCGAGCTCGAGCTCCGGCTCGTGCGGCGGCGCCCTGCCCTTGCCGGCCTCGCCCTCGCGCAGCTCAGAACAAGGCGGGCTCCCCGCCCCCGAGCCCGAGCCCGAGCCCGAGCCGGAGCCCGACCCAGAGCCGGTGCTCACCGTCGTCGCCGCGCTCCCGACGCTCCCGTCTGCGCTGCGCGCGCCGCCCGTGGGCGCCACACCGGCCGCCTCGGAGGAGGAGGAGGAGGGGAGCGCGTGGCGGCGCCGCTCGGGGCGGGGCGGCGATGCTGCAGCCTGCCGCGCTCGAGGTCGGCCGTGGTGGCCATGGACGAGTCGTCCGAGGTGCGCGACGACGAGGCGGACGACGACTCGGAGCGAGGTGGGCCCGGCGGGGACGAGTGCGGCGAGCGGGAGGAGGAGGAGGTGGTGGTGGTGCTGGCGCTGGCGCTCGGGTGCGGATGGGAGGGCGGCGCGTTGGTCGACGAGGAGGAGGGGGTGGAGGATTGGGGGGCAAAGGACGACGAGGGCGCCGCGAACGAGTGGTGCGAGTGGGCGTGCGAGAGCGCGTGCGTGTGGCCGAACGGGGACGACGACGACGCTGAGGACGACGAGGTCGAGGGCGCGAACGTCGGGGTCGACATGGGGCGGCCGGGAGCGGGCGAGGGGAGAGGGCGGCGACCGACTCGAGGGAGGGCGGTGTGGGCGCACTCGGAGCTGCAAGGGGGTGGGAGAGGAGTGTGTCAGTGGCTGCGCAAGAGAGGAGGACAAGGGTGCACTGCTGCTGCTGAGAGTCGTCGTCGACGAGGACAAGGGGGTCGGTCCTCCGCCGAGCCGCCGCCCGCCGCGGCACTCGCTCGGCACCGACATGTGCCGCACTGGTCGTGCACTCGAGGAGTGCGCCGAGGGCATGCATGCCCCCTCAGGCTCGCGACGACGAGAGCGGGGAACTGTCGTCGAGCGACGATCGGACGCGCAACGAGAGGGTGGGCTCGTCAACCCGGCGCGAGGCCAGCCTCGTCGCCCGCTGGCCGCCGGGTGCCGGCGAGAGTGAGGGAGAGAACAGGGGACGCACAGGGTCGGGTGGTGCGAGAGGGCGACGAGGGGTCGCGGCAGTCGGAGGACGCGGGGGAGAGGGAGAGGGAGGAAGGGGAGGGGGACGCCGGGCGGTGGTGCTAGGCGGGCTTGTAGGGTGCCGGCGTGGGTGCGGAATGCTACAGGGCGGGGTTGGCGGGCTGCCCAGCTCGCAGGGCGAGCCGTTGGAGACAGCAAGAGAGGCGCGGCAACGGGCGAACGTGGGCTCGGGTCTCGCACCTCGCACCTCGCCTGGGGAGGGTCTGAGCCGTTGGAAAGCTGTGTGACCTAGTCGTACTCTCCCTGAGCCCGACCGGACAAAACTCTGGGGCCGGGGCGAGGGGCCGCCGTCGTCGCGTCGTCGTCTCGCTCGCTTCCTCTTCGCGTCTCTGGCTCTGCTCCGACCTCGCTCGCGCCAGCTGCAACTCGCACCGACCCGGATCAAGCTCGAGCACCCCGGCCATGGCCGCCCCACCACCTGCACCACCACCAGGAGGCGCAACCCCCGCTCCCCACCTCGTCTCGCTCAAGGTCCTGCGCGCGACCCGCCCCGCCCTCGTCCAGCCCTGCCCTCTACACGTACCTGTTTCGCCAGGTGCGCGCGCCGCCGGCACCTTGTCCCTCCCGACCAGCTTCGCCAACATCTACCTCGGGTCCGTCCCTCCTCCTCCCCACGCTCGCAGTGCAGCTCCGCACCCGCACCCGCACCGACTGACTCGCCACCGCACACACACTCTCACGCCACGCAGCGAGACGTTCAACGCTGTCCTGTCGCTCTCGAACGACCTCGTCGTGCCTCCTTCAACCTCGACCTCGACCTCGACCTCGGCCCAGACGGCCCTCTCGCCCGTGCTGCACGTCGAGATGCACACCAACCTCGGCGCACCGACGCCCGTCAAGCATCTCCTCGCGCACGTCGACCCCTCCACCTCCTCCTCCCTCTCGCTCTCCTCGCCAACCTCCTCCTCCTCCTCCTCCTCGACCGCGCCACCGCCACGCCTAGCGTCCCTCGCACCCGGCCAAGCCCTGCCCGCGCTCGTCGTCGCCCACGAGCTCAAGGAGCTCGGCCCGCACGCGCTCGTGTGCACCGTCAGCTACGGCGTCGAGGTCGGCGACGGCGGCGGTGGTGGTGGGGCGGATGCCGGCGTGCAAGGGGGAGCGGGAGGGACTGGGACGAGGGTCGTCACGAGGAGCTTTCGCAAGGTGCGCTGGCGATGCTCTTTCTCTCTCTCTCTCTCTCTATCCTACCCTCTCGCCCCGAGTCGCCTCGCCGTGCGCTCCCTCGCGCTCGCGCCCCTCCCTCTCCTGTCTCCTCCCCCGAACGCGTCCCTCGCCACCTCAGCCCTGACGCCTCCTTCCCTCCCTCCCTCCCTCCCTTCCTCCCTCCCTCTCCCCCTCTCCACACCCTCGTCGCACCCCCCACCGCACCGCAGGTCTACAAATTCGCCGTCCAGAACCCGCTCTCGGTGCGCACCAAAGCGCACTCTTCCTCCCCCTCCACCAGCACCACCTCGTCCTCCTCGCGCGGGCGCGGGCGCGGGCGCGGGCGCGACAGGGTGTACCTCGAGGTGCAGGTGCAGAACCACTGCGAGGGCGCGATGCGGTTCGAGCGGGTGCGGTTCGGGCCGGTCGAGGGGTGGAGCGTCGTCAGGGAGGAGGGGGAGGATGGGGATGGGGATGGCGAGGGGGGTGGGGGTGAGGGCGAGGGAGGGGGAGGGCGGGCGAGGAGTGGAGGGAGAGGGAGAGGGAGAGGGAGCCGGTGCGCAACTGCAGGTCGGCGCGCGGCACCACGCACACGACCCTCCTCTCGCGCCCGGCGCCGTCCGCCAGTTCCTCTACGTCCTCGACCGCGCCCCTCTCTCGCCCTCGCCCGGCGACCCCTCCCCCTCGCACGACCCCTCGCACGACCCCTCGCACGACCCCTCGCCCGCGACGAGCTCGACGAGCCCGCGCCAGGCACCTCGCAAGGCCTCGGCCGCCTCGACATCGTGTGGCGCACGCCACGGCGAGGGTGGGCGCTCCAGAGCAGCACGCTCGGAGAGGTGC